TCTGTGGATTCAGGTCTAAGTGACCATGGGGAGCACAGAGCTTGGAGTGTCGTGGGCTGGAATGCTGGCATTATTGAGGGCAGGGGCAGGGAAGAACCGAAGACCCAAAGTGAACAGTGTTTATCCCCGGACCTGGCTGGAATCGACAAACCCAGATTAAGTAGCATGTTTTCCTTGGCATGGTCTATCCTCGCTTTAATTCTGGGCATCTGAGGCTGTGTAGTTACACCTTGTAGCTGGCTTGGTTTATTAATCCCACAGCTGGAGACTGTACTACTGATTTAATGTTTATTGAACACCCACAACGTGTCAAACACGGTACAAGACTCAGCCTGAGGCACTTCACTCAGTGAGTCAGCAACATGTACAGCTCACACACATAGCAAAGACATCAGCGCTCGGAGGGAAATGGAGGGCCTCCCTTGGGAAACAAAGGGCTACTAACCTCTCCTCTATGAAGGATGGGCTGTGTGCACTCCCCTGTCTCCACACTCTTGCCTGGATCCCATGGAGGTCAGTTCCATAAGCTGCAGTTGCAAGACCACTGCACGGGGCTGGGGGTGCAAACTGCAGGACAGAGGTGGTTAACTAGCTGATCTGAGAAGATAAACCTGGCACTTAGCCACCCTGGTAGAAGCAGGCTGAAAGTTCTCCAGAGAAAGTGTCGAGGAAGGTTCCAGCTATTGGAATACTGTCACCTTATCTGTTCTCACAGTTGCTATTGCCAGTTAACCACTGCCAACACATATCGCAACACTTGGTGGACAATTTGGGGAGATAAATCCATTGATCAGCAGCCAAAACTGAGACCTGGGACAGTACTCACAAAGAGGATTATAGCATCTCCCCCAGCCTGGGCAGGGCTGCTGCCAGGTGCAAGCTGGCTCCGTCCCAGCTTTACTACCTGTGCAGCTCTCAGGGGAAGATGCCGGGTTTATTTACACATTCAAACAAAATGAATTACAGCCAATCAAATCCTGGACTTACAATCCTAAACAGAGTTCTCTGGTATTCAGCTCTGAGATTATTTTAAAGTTTTTTGGGTTTTTTTTTTTTTTTTTGGCCTGTTTTATACTCAAGCTAGGTAGTCTGGCATAGATTTCATACCAGCTAAGAGTAATTCATTGCTGTTTGTGGTGTGGTAAATTACTTAGTACAGCCCTGCTAGCCATAGTCTTTGTAACTCCCACCAATGACTAGATGGGACTATATAAATGAGGTACTTGTGGCCCACTAAGGGGATTGGATAGCTTGCTAATAATGTAAATAAGGCATGCAAATAAGGAATAGGAAACCATAACAAGAGGGTCAGTCATTTTTGCCATCCTACTAGGCTTAAAATGAACCATCCTAGAGGCAGAAAGTGGGGACCTGGCTACCACCAAGAAGAAGAGACAGGAAATTTGCCATTTGGACCTGGGGCCCCTGCACTGGGAAACTTCTAGCCCAGAAGACAGAGATCTGTAACTCTGGGCACAGAGATGGCAAGGAGCAGTAGCAGCAGAAGCAGCAGAGTCAGGAGACAGGCAGGAACCAGGAAACAATGAGCTTCCTGGCCACAGAACGAGAAAGCTGAGTGCCTTCTGGCAGAAGGCTTGCTGGCTGGAGTGGGGTGCCTTCAGGAATTTATTAGAGAAGCTAAAGAGCTTTATAACATTCTCTCAAACAGTGCAGAGGCCAGGCCAAGGGCCACAGAGAGGCCTACCTGTGGGTACAGCTAAAATGAGGCTGTCCTGATCAAAGAACTGGATCCTGAGTCATGCTTGATCCTGAATTGTAATCTGTTACTTCCCTAATAAACCCCATAACCGTGAATACAGTCTGTGAGTCATTGCAATGAATTATTGAACCCAGCAGAGAAGGAGAGAGTGCCGTGGGAGAGATAGATGGTGTCAGAATCAGTAAAAAAACAACAAAAAGGTTGGAGAACGCACGTCTGACCTTTGCCTCATAGGAATCAGCCTTGGGTGTTGACGCTGATGCTGGTCCTCCTCCCCCTTGTGAAATCAGATGCCTCTCCTGTAAAGTCACTTTTACACCATTCAACAGCTGATTTGCATAATTTCCATAACTTGGTACTGGGTATGTTTCTCAACACGGTATAATTCTCCAACCTCTCCAGGCTCTCAACAAAGTCCATGTAAATGCCAGGCATTTTAAGCTGAAGACATGACAGAAACAGGTGGGAGCTTTTCTAGTAATTAATGAGGACATTTTCTTTTCACAGTTGGTGTAGACTTAAATCCAACTAATCAGGGAACTCTAATCTTTTTAACACCCTAGCAACTAGAATTTGGAATAATTTATTAGTTAAAATTTTGTAATATATTTGATCTAAAGTTGAATAATGGTACCTTTTGTTTTTTAAAAAAATACTGATTGGACTCATACAATGTCTTCCATATAGGAGATATGACTGAAACTGTGAAATGAATCCTTGCCTATCCTGAGTGTAAGGATTTACTTCTGTGTGATAGACTAGATCTAGTTAGTAGGCTAAAAGAGTATTCAACAAGTATGGTGTGGTAACTCACCAACTCACCATAGAATTCAACCTCAAATTCTTAACACCTGCGGCAGATCTAACTAAAGTTCCATTTAGATGTTTCTGAGATCCATTAGAAAGAGGATAACTCTTAAGGTGCTTCACCTTGGTAGCACATTTAAAAACCATCTGAAATGCTTTGGAAGATACTGATGCCCAGGCCCCATCCCAAATCAGTTAGATGCTGCAGGGGCGGATCCTAGGTATGGATGGTTCTATGAACAGCCAGGGCTAGGAACCAGGCATTTAAACCCTCCAACAAAGACACTTAATCAGATCCCTCCCCAGCTAACCTCAGTCCTCCCTCATCCCCCACATTCTCCACATATATGCACCAAAGACCCCAGCTAACCTCAGTCCTCCCTCACGCCCTACATTTTCCACACATATGCACCAAAGAATGCTGAGGGGATGTGAAATGTCTGTCCTTGAGCCACCAGAACCTCTCCCAAGTAACAGAGCTGCTGGGAGCCCAGGATTCAGTCCCTAGGGTTCCTGGGAGGTGAGCTCATTTGGGGCAGGGAAGGGACATAGTGCAGTGGGTGGGCTGAGATGTCAGAGGCCAAAGTCTTTGTTCTCCATGTCCACAGATGAAGCTGAAGGTCAGTTCTACCACCATTGCCAGACATAGCTTGGATTTTTAATTTAATCTGCCTTTTTCCTTTCTCCCAAGTCAGTCTTTTCCTGCCCATTCCCATCCTGCAGAAAGTCTAGTCATGTAATTACTAAAGATTTCATATTGGTAACTAGCCCAATAATAAATACTCTTCCATTGTAGTTGGTGACAGTGGAGTAAAGGATTTAGTCCTTGTCATCCCCTCTTTCACTTTCTTTCAGGCACACTTTGATGAGTGACTGCACTTGTTTCTGAGAGTAGGAGAAGCATGAGGGGAAAGCAGTGATTCTACTCTTTAATGAGCTGGGAAGTACTGAGTTGTACACACGGTGGCCAAGTTGCTGCAGAGGCTAGGTCATGCCACAGGGGCTGATCTGGCAGCTGGTACTGGGTGTCCATTCCCAAGACTCCTGCCCTCCTGCCCTGTCACTGTTCCAACATTCAACATGGAGACCTCTGTCCCAGGCTTCATTTACAGTTTTCTCAGGAGGTTATCAAACCAAAACACAAACCCACTGACACTAAGTTGATCCCAACTCATAGCAACCCTATAGGAGAGAATAGAACTGTCCCGTAGAGTTTCCAAGACTGCAAACCTTTACAGAAGCAAACTGCCTCATCTTTTTCTGTAGAATGGCTGATGGGTTTGAACTGCTGACCTTTTGGTTAGCAGATGAATGCTTCGACCACTGTGCCACCAGAGCTCCTTCTCAGGAAGTTACGGTGAGGATTATCAGCCTGGTATTGTGGCCCAATTTCTTCACCTGGAAAGAATTATTCCTTGAAAGAATTAAGTTCTGCTTTCTGTAGGTGGCGTTTATTTTTCTGTTCTCGTGAATAAACTTCTCCCGGTCCTTGCATTCTGGGTTGGTCATGTTCCAAGTATGTCACCACAGAGCAGGTGTGGAGCACTCGGTGCACAGCTGCTACTGATCTGTTGCAGTAACTAGAGAATGCTCTGCTGCGGTACACAGTTCACACTGAGTATGCAGAACATCAAATATTTGAGTGCCTGTCTTGTAGCACATGCTGGGTGTGTATGCACAAACACACACATGTAGCGTATCTGTCTTATATACGGTTACCATTTCCTTGAAAAGGAGCCCAGGTGGCACAGTTGTTAAGCACTCAGCTGCTAACTCAAAGGTCGCTGGTTCAAACCCACCAGCTGCTCCTAGGGAGAAAACTGTGGCAGTCTGCACCTGTGAAGATCCCAGCTTTGGAAGTCCTGTGGGGACAGTTCTACTTTGTCCCATAGGAAGGCTGTGACTTGGAATCCACTAAACAGCAATGGGTCTAAGTGAATTGGACTTCTCCATCTACCTACCAACTACCTACCTGTCTGTCTCTTCATTGATTAATTCATCTTCTCACCTTCAAATAGTAGTTCGGCAGGAAGGAGGAAGGAAAAGAAAAGCAAGCCTTTTTGAAGGGTGGTTGTAAGTGTTTTTGTGCTATAAATTCAAGTGGCCTGAAATAAATGCTTGAGGTGTATAAAGGTCTTGTTCAGGAGATGCTGAAGTCCTGGATATAGGTTTGTAATACATATTTTCCTGGAATGCTAGAAATTGACAGATTCAGACTGACTAAGCAATATCAGGTACAGCCATATCCGCTGAGTCCTTTTAAAATGATAACTGCAAAGTCTTATCAACTCCAACACTGCCATTTGAAATGCCCCTCCCATTTCTCCTTCATCTCAAGCTGCCAGGGAAACCAAGGAAGACAGCCATGGCCCAAAATGCTTTGCTGAACCCACAGAAAGGGGCTTGTTTGATCTTCAAAGGCAGAGGAATACATAGTAAATGCCCTTCCCTCTTCCTAAACTCCTCCAAGCAAAGCACAAGACTCCCACGAAAGCCCCCTTCACGCTTTGCAGTGACACGAGGACAAGACCGACAGCCGGGGAGGAGGGTGGCCTGGGGGCACTGGCTTAGCTCTGCAGCCGAAAATAAGCTCCCCAGTCCGGCCTGGGGCAGGCACCCTCGGTGGCCAGCGCCTGGCGTAGTGGCATCAGATGACCACGCTGACCGTCACGGTCTGGCCGCGAGGCGCGATCTTGCGGGGCCAGGAGAGCAAGAGTTTGCGCAGCTCCTCGCGGAAGCTGTCGTGCAGCCAGGCGTAGATGAAGGGGTTGTAGCAGGCCGAGCTCATGGCGAGCCAGTGGCACAGCAGCTGCACCAGCCCGAAGGCGTAGGGGTCGATGGCGCGCGGGTCGAGGTCGCGCAGCAGGTTGAAGACGTGCAGCGGCAGCCAGCAGACGGCGAACACCACCACGACCACCACCAGCAGGCAGAAGGTGCGGCGGCGCCGCGCGCGGTCCCAGTCGGCCTGGCTCCGAGTCACGCAGCCCGGCACCACGCGGTTCCGGAGCTTCACGGACACCCGGACGTAAGACACCAGGATGACCAGCAGGGGTAGGAGGTACGTGCCGAGCAGCAGCCCCCAGGCGTAGAGCTGGCGCTGGCGCTCCTGGGGCCCCCAGAACTCCTCGCAGAGGCGCACGCCGTGAGGCTTGAGCTCGACGTGGTAGGTGTGCAAGGCGGCGGGCAAGGCCAGCACCGCGGACAGCGCCCAGATGGCCAGCACCGCGTAGGCGCTGAGGCGCAGCGAGACGCGCCGGCGCAGCGGGTGCACGAGCACGACGTAGCGGTCCACGGCGATAGTGGTCAGCGTGAACACCGACACGTACACGGTCACCGGCTGCAGGAAGAAGACCAGGTGGCACAGGCCGCCGCCGAACACCCAGCCGCGGGGCTCGAAGGCGTAGGCCAGCGTCAGCGGCACGCAGGCGGCGCACATGAGCACGTCGGACAGGGCCAGGTTGCCGATGAGGAAGTTGGTCACGTTGTGCAGCCGGCGCACCCGCGTGATCACCAGCACCAGCAGGCAGTTGCCCACCAGCCCCACGACCACCACGACGCTGTAAAGCAGCACGATCAGCCCCTTGAGCTGATGCACCAGCTGCAGGCTCTGGAAGGGCGTGACGGCCTGAGCGTTGGGCCCGGCCGCCGTCCCATTGCTCTCCGAGCTCTGGTTGCCCGGGGCTGCGGCCGTCGGCGGCGGCCCGGAGACTAAGTCAAGGAGCCCAGGGCCCCGAGTGGGCAGTGAGGCCATGGCCACCTGTCCGAAGAGAACCAAAATGCGTCACGTCCCACTCTCCACCCTCCCTCCCTCTCCCACACCATCCCTGCCTCTCTTTACCCCTTTCAGCCTCGAAAGCACCCAAGTCCTCCTTTGGGATGCCTGGTAGCAGAGCAACAATTAGAAGTGCAGTCTCTCTCCTCCGTAAAATAAGTCTGCGGATGGCTAGGCTGGCACAGGGTACCGAAACGCCTCCTACTCACTATAGAGCCTTTGCAAGCCACGCAGACCACACCTAGAAGCACGGTCCTACCTGGTGAGTGGGGCTGGGGGGCGGGAAATCGTCCTGGGGAGAGAGGGCAGAATCGCTGCGGTCCCCTTGCGGTCCTCGGCTCACCGCGGAGGCTCAGGCTGCTGGCTTCTCCGCGGAAGCCGGGCGGGATGAAGGAGTTCCCGCTGGACTGGCAGCTTTTGAGGGGGACGGGCAGCGCCGCCCCTCCGCCCCGCCCTCCACTCCAGCGCGCCCTTGTTTGGAAAATGGGGGCGGAGCGCGCGCTGCCCTGCTGGGTGCTGGACAACTAGTGAAAAGGACAGAGGAGGGGCGGAGGGTATGGGAACAGAAAAGAGAGAAGGGGCCCCAGAACCTGGCCCCAGGGGGGAATTCTCGACTGTGGGAGCTTGCAGCGCCCCTGGCCTGTCTGGCTCCGGAGGACAGTGGGTGCATTGGGCAAGAGGAGCGGAGGGGCGTGAGCGCCAGGCTCTCCAGGCAACCTCGTGAGTGTCTAGAAGGAGGAAGAGAAGGAATGGGAGGAGGGTCGGGATGCACGGCTGGACCTCGGCGAGAGATGGTGGACTCGACGCTAACCGCAGGATCCTCCCTGAACTCGGCTGCGGTTAGCAGAGTCGCCGAGGGAGTTAGGGCAGAGATTTAAAATTCAGAGCCCGGAGCTCGTTACAGACCTTGTCGGGGACCTTCGGGTCCTCGCACTTCAGAGAATCCACTGAACCCTTCGCCTAGGCTGCAGTGTGAAGGTGCTTCGTGGTCCGCGAGTCCAGCCAAGCCACGGGGAGGGTTCAGAACCACGGACAGCGCCCCCGGGTCCTGCTTATTGGCGCGTGGGCTTCCAGGAGGCTTGCAATTAGGGAGTTCCTGTCCCTCTTCAGGTCACAGGCACTCGGAGAAGAGTAGGGTGGGATGGAAGCAGAAGGGGCGGGGGTGTTGAGATCAATGGGGCGGAGACTTGTTCTCCAGCTGTGGGTCACCGCACGTAAGTCACGATGACATGGTCTCTACCTCCCGGTGTAGGAAAATGCAGACATCCATGTTATGCTGAGAAGTGGTAAATTACCGAACCCTCCAAATTCACGTGAGGCACTCATCCAGGAGGAAAAGTCAACAGTGGAATAAAAGCAATCAATCTTACGAGCCTGTATCCATCCTAAACCTGAGTTTTAATCAATTTAACTACAGCTAGTGTGGTATTTTTAGAATATCCAAATAAGATACAATCTGTGCCTGCCTGATCCCTTGCCCAGGAATTTTTCTTATATGTTCAGCTAAGTCTTTAGACCAACAGTGTTGTATATACCCCAGAGCAGAGGGTTTGCTTCAAAATGTCTTAAGCATAGGAAATTACGGTAAAGTATGTGAAAAAATATCTGGGAGGTAAGTAGGCCCCGTAACTAGAACCATCATTTTGGTCAATGTTATTGATATATAATACTAAAATCTATAATAACAAGGGAAACTCGTCAACAACTAAACGCCGTGCAAATGCTGGTATTTGAAAGTTCAACACTGGGCACCCTCCAGAGAAGAGACTGGATCATTTGTCGAGTTTTTAAATGAAGTCTGCATGGGGTTTTACTGTTGTCGGTATTTGCAAGGTGGAAAGAAAGGGAGCATCGTAGGACAGAGTATCCCATTTTAGATCTTTTATTCCCTTTGGTTCTCACAGGATTTAAGGCTATTCCCTCTGCCAACTAGGACATCGCATTAAACCACACTAATGTTCAGACTTTCTTGCGCTAATAGTGCTCCAGAAACTGAGAGATCATAAGTAAACATTAACAATAGAATAGAGGAAATGTAGCATTTCATACAGCATACAGAAAACTAAGGATTCATTTACCTTACTTGTCCAGAAAGCCTTAAATGGCTTATCAAACCAAAGCCAGATCCTTTAGAAAGGCATTTCTGACTAGGACGCACCTGATCCTTCCTCATTTTTCCAGTGTGGCTTCCCACTTCTGTCTCACTCCTTACCTGCTAAAGTGGACTGTTGAGTGCTGACTTGTCTTAACCATTCCCGTCCAATACCTCTCTCAGGGTTTGTTACCCTTGTCCAGAATGTTGGCTGCTTCATCCTCACTCAGCTCCACAACTCTCATATCCTTCAAGGCCCAACTCAAAGATAACCCTGTCCTTGAAGTTGTCTCCCTTTCTTATCTTTCTGTGTTCCATCAATTTCTATCTTAGATATTGTGGAAGTATTTAACTTCTCTATCTCCACTGTGTTTGTTTCCTTGTTCTCCTGTAACAAAAATACCACAAGTGGGTGGCTTTAGAGAACAGGAATGTTATTGTTTTATAATCTGGAGGCTAGGAGTCTGACTCCAGGGCACAGCAGGGCTATGCCCTGTCTGCTGCGAGATCATTCCTTGTCCCTTTCAGCTTCTTGCATTCCTGGGTGTTTCTTGGTGTTCCTTGGGTTGTGGCTGAATCCTCACGTGGCATCTTCCCTCTGTGCGTGCGTGTCTTTTTGTCTGTTTTCCCTTTTTATAAAACACTACTCAACAGCACCTAACAACAACATTTATACACCAAGTACCATGTTAAGTACATCATATGTATTATCTCAGCCAATCTAATCAACACTTATCCCCGTTTAAGAGATCTGACTCATGAAGACTGTCTATACGGTTGTGATTAGGTTTGAGACCCACGTTAAAAGCCTTATTAACATAACAAAATATAAGCCCTATTTGCAAACAGGATGACATTCATAGGTACAAGGGTTAGGACTCAACATATTTTCTGGGGGTAGGGGAAGGGCACATTTCAATCCATAACATCCATCAACCTTGACCGTGAACACTTTATGACAGTGGCCAATGCCTTAAAGCCTTTTTGTGCCACAGTATGCATATACCTAGCAGATAGCCAATACATGTTTCTTTTGATTGGATGAATAAAAATAACTACCACTTATTGAGGGCTATTAGGTAGTGTAGTGGTTAAAGGTTTGAACCCACCAGCTAATCCATGGGAGAAAGATGAGACAGTCTGCTGTGTAAAGACTTACAGCCTTGCAAACTCTATAGGGCAGTTCTATTCTGTCCTATAGGGTCACTATGAGTCAGAATTGACTCAATGGCAGTGGGTTTGGTTTTTGGTTTTTATTTATATGTCCTGAAAAAGACCTTTTAAAGTATTAAAAAGCAAAGATCACTTTGAGTAGTAAGGTGCCAGTGACCCAAGCCAAGTTATTTTCAGTTGCCTCATATGCCTGCAAAAGCTGGACAGTGAATAAGGAAGACCAAAAAAGAACCAACGCCTTTGAATTATGGTGTTGGCAAAGAATATTGAATATACCATGGACAGCCAGAAGAACATACAAATTTGTCTCAGAAGAAGTATAGCCAGAATGCTCCTTAGGATTGAAAATTGCGAGACTTTGTCTCATGTACCTTGTCAAGTTATCAGGAAGGATCAGTCCCTGGAGAAGGACATCAAAAAAAAAAAAAAAAAAAAGAAGAAGAAGAAGAAGTTCATCAAGAAGGTGGATTGACACAATGACTGCAACAATGGGTTCAAACGCAGCAATGATTGTGAGAATGGCACAGGACTCAGCAGTGTTTCATTCTGTCATACACGGGGTCACTAAGAGTAGGAACCAACCCAACAGCACCTAACAACAACATTTATACACCAAGTACCATGTTAAGTACATCATATCTATTATCTCAGCTGATCCCATCAACACTATTATTATCCCCATTTTACAGACGGTGAATCTGGCTCATGAAGACTGTCCTATAGGGTCACTATGAGTCAGAATTGACTCAATGGCCGTGGGTTTGGTTTTGGGGTTTTATTTATATGCCCTAAAAAAAGACCTTTTAAAGTGTTAAAAAGCAAAGATCACTTTGAGTGGTAAGGTGCCCCTGACTGAGGAGCTGGGGGAGCCTGGCGCTTGGAACACACACAGGACAGACTTAGAAGAGAAAATTCACTCTTGGAGAGCTTCTGCCATGGTGCTGCATGGACTTCAACAAGTCTCAGGAAATTGCTCTCTCTCTCCTCAGTCTGAGCCACACACTAATTCTAGAAGTCTCTCCAGGTCCTTGCCAGGCCATGGCAGGGAGCAGGGCAGGGCTGGGCACTTATGGGAGGGACCAGCCTGTGACAGGCAGTGTAGGAATTGACATGACAGCTTTTTCTGTAAGTGAAGAAACCCTCAGATGTGTCCCTGAGATGGTTTTGGAAAGTGCTTTTCATCACACACTCCAGACATCTTAATGACCACTTCCAGCTCTGTCATGCCCACACTAGAAATGGTTTAACTCTGCAAGGCAGCTTTGTCCAAACATGGAGTGAAGGCTTAATAGCCGCCTGAACATGTCTGACCAGAAACGGGTTTTCTTTGTCTGGGCTTATCTTTCTATCCTGTCAAAAGTGAAATCTGATTGTACATGTGGGGCTGTACTTATTGTTCCTGCTTCATGTTAATGTGGGGTCTATGTTGAGTCTCAACTCTTTGGGCTGGATGTCCGGGCACTCTGGGATTCTCTCTCTAGTCAAGCTTGTGTGTAAGCTCTTGACCAGGCCCTTAATGGTGGAAGGGTGAGCAGGTGCAGAACCTTCTAGAAAGAGAACTATCAGATGATCTTGCACATGTGTGGAGTTGCAGGGCTGGGGTAAGGTGACTCTTACTTTTCTCATTTGTCACCGCTCAAGTAATGATTACTTCAGGTAGAATTTGGATGGGCTCCAGGGGTTCTCTAGGTGACAGAAAATGATAGTTCCTGGCATGGCCTCAGGTTAAAACATCTATAAGACAAATACACCTTTCTTTTACAGTGCCGAGACCATCCGCGGGTGAAGAGCCCATACACACTCCCACAGCCATTTTTGCTGCTACTGCTGCCAC